AGGAAAGTACCGACGGTCTATCTGAAGTTACGTGAGAGCGATAAAGTAAGCCATAGAAATCCATGCGATAGAGAAGGATGGCTATAATGAAGGCGTCTCATAGTCACCGCCCGTTTCGCCCTTCCACAAATAAGATCCACTTCTTATTTGTGGAAGGGCGAAATGGGCGGTGACTATTAGACGCCTTCACTATACCCATCCTTATCTATCACATGGATTTCTATGGCTTACTTTATCGCTCTCACGTAACTTCAGATAGACCATCGGTACTTTCCTACCCGGTATTATCATGTGCAAATTAAACATGCAGGGTGCAACATTAATGCGTCGAAGTACGATATATCCTTTATTATAGAAGATATCAAAAAAAGTTATTTACAAAAACTGTAGCTAACTTAAAACTGCACATTTTAAAATTATTTTCGTATATATGTATAGGGTGTTACGTATTACCAGGGTGAACCACTGCTACTATTTTTTAAATGAGACACCCTATATATTAATTCAAATTTAGATTAAGCTCGTCTCTCCCATGCTTCCAATATAGGGTTTAATTATGTTATACAGGGTATTTCAAAAGTTATGGTCAATTGTATACGAGAATCATTCCCATTTCAGCGTCTTGTATACCCTAAACAGAACAACTTAACAATAATTTTTTGCAGGCATAATTTTTTGATATTGGTACAGTTTTACGAGAAAGAGCTATTTCTTTATTATTGCAACAGTTGAATATAGGGCGAGCCAAAACTCGAACACATAATTTTCTCAATTTTTTTTTAATGAATCATCCTGTATTTTATTTTAGAAACTGAAAATACACTTTATGTTCTTTCATTTTTATAAAGCATTCCCTATAGCTAAAATCATTAATTTTTGATATATTTACCATTTAATTAATTAATAAAAAGTAGAGTTTTAAAAAAATATTCATATTATAACAAGTTGGTTAATATTATAAGAATTTCGTCTTAACAACGGATATTTTGTAGTTTTATAACAATTTGTCAGACTGTCATTTGCCCACGGCCAACTTGTTAAACAGGAATTTTTTAAACACTATTTTTTGTTATTAAATGGTAAATATCTCAGAAATTATTGATTTCAGCTATAGGGGGAATGCTTTATAAAATTGAAAGAATATAAAGTGTATTATCAGTTTTTAAAATAAAATACAGGGTGATTCAGTTAAAAAAATTGAGAAAATTATGTATATAACATAATTAAACCCTATATTGGAAGCATGGGAGAGATGAGCTTAATCTAAATTTTTGCAATATATA